AAATCAAAAATCTTTCCGCGTGTGACGTCTAATTCCCGGCGTGTGTTTCCCCCCCGGGAGAGCGTTCCTACAGAAGCCTCTGGAACTCTCTCTCTCCGCTCTGATGTGAAATAGTACTGAATAAATAACGACGCTGACCTAGATTTCAAAGATGGAGGACAGAAACGGTATCATCTTAGCCTAGCGCTGCCGATCGGAACGTCGGTTCCGAGTGTTGACGATTGTTGTCGCTGGACGGAAACAGATAGTACAGGAAACGGGTAGTCGTCGTCAGACCAGCGTGGAACCATCTGTCGATGATGTCACAATATTACGTAAAAATAACAAAATGGCCGCCTTTGTTTTCTTGAAGGAAAAAAACAAAAAAAGGACGTGAGATAAATTAGTGAGATTAGTGAAATATAATTTTGCAAAAAAAATTTCCCGAACCCCAAGCGGGCCCGGTTCTAGCCCGGTTCTGGCCGTATGTTTGGCGCCCCCTGGTGTAAAAGATGGTGTAAAAGATGGTTTCTCGACGTCAAACGTACATTTTCAACGCTTCGCTTCCGTCTGTTCCCTGCAGGAGCGCGGCGGCGCCATGGGGAAACTGGAACCCATCTCCCCGGTCAGCCCGGTCCACATGGACCCCGACTTGGACCTGGTCCCGGCCCGCTTCTCCAAGGAGGAGCTGATCCAGAACATGGACCGGGTGGACCGAGAGATCACCATGGTGGAGCAGCAGATCAGCAAGCTCCGCAAGAAACAGGTCCGGACGATCGACAGGTCCTCGAAAAAAACCGGGACCCCACCGGTGGTCTGACTGTGTATGTGTGTGTGTGTTTCCATAGCAACAACTGGAGGAAGAAGCGGCCAAGCCTCATGAACCGGAGCGACCCATCTCTCCTCCACCCAGTGAGGCCAAGCACCGCAGCCTGGTCCAGATCATCTACGACGAGAACAGGGTCAGTGGGTCAGAGTGGGGTCAGTGGGGTCAGAGTGGGGTCAGTGGGGTCAGTAGAGGTCAACGCAGACTCTGTCCTGCAGTAGTTTTTCTTTTATTCTTTGCTACTAAAACAAACCCCGAGATGGAGACGGTCCATCCATCCACTCATCCATCCATCCACTCATCCATCCATCCATTCATCATCCATCCATCCAACCTGCTATCCATCCATCCATGCACCCACTCATCCATCCATCCACTCATCCATCCATCCACCCACTCATCCATCCACCCATCCATCCACTCATCCATCCATCCGCTCACCCATCCATCCACTCATCCATCCATCCGCTCACCCATCCATCCACTCATCCATCCATCCGCTCATCCACCCACCCACCCATCCACCCATCCATCCGTCTACCCACTCATCCATCGATTCATCCAACCACCCATCCACCCACTCATCCATCCAACCACTCATCCACTCATCCATCCATCCACTCATCCATCCACCCATCCAACCACTCATCCATCCTTCCACCCACTCATCCATCCATCCAACCTGCTATCCATCCATCTGTCCACCCACTCATCCATCCATTCACTCATCCATCCAACCACCCAACCACTCATCCATCCATCTGTCCACTCATCCATCCATCCGCTCATTCATCCATCCGCTCATTCATCCATCCATCTGCCAATCCATCCATCCACTCACCCACTCATCCACTCATCCATCTGTCCACTCATCCATCCAACCTGCTATCCATCCATCTGTCCACCCACTCATCCATCCACTCATCCATCCACTCACTCACTCATCCATCCACTCATCCATCCATCCAGGTGTTTCCTGGTTGTCCTCCTCCTCACTGTTGCCGTGGTGACGATGGCTCTGATCTGATTTTCTGTCTTTGTTTTTGTTTGTCTCTTCAGAAAAAGGCAGAAGAAGCTCACAGGATCCTGGAGGGACTGGGACCTAGAGTGGAACTGGTGAGTTCACTGGTACTGGTGCTGGTACTGGTACTGATGCTGGTACTGATGCTGATGCTGGTGCTGGTACTGTTACTGAGCGACGCTGTCAGACACAGGGAGTCCCGGTGTGAGAGGTGAGACCACCGGCTGCTGGTACTGGTACTGGTGCTGGTACTGATGCTGGTACTGGTACTGGTGCTGATACTAGTACTGGTACTGATGCTGGTACTGATACTGATACTGGTACTGATGCTAGTACTGGTACTGGTACTGGTACTGATACTAGTACTGGTACTGGTGCTGGTACTGGTGCTGGTACTGGTACTAGTACTGATACTGGTGCTGGTAATGATACTGTTACTGATGCTTGTAGTAGTACTGGTACTGATACTGGTACTAGTACTGGTACTGATACTGGTACTGGTAGTAGTACTGGTGCTGGTACTGTTACTGGTACTGGTACTGATACTGGTGCTGGTACTGGTACTGATACTGGTACTAGTACTAGTACTGGTGCTTGTACTGATGCTGGTACTGGTACTAGTACTGGTACTGATACTGATGCTGGTACTAGTATTAGCACTGGTACTGATGCTGGTACTGATGTTGATGCTGGTACTAGTGCTTGTACTGGTGATGGTACTAGTACTAGTACTGTTACTGATGCTGGTACTGGAGCTGATGCTGGTACTAGTGCTTGTACTGGTGATGGTACTGGTGCTGATGCTGGTATTGGTACCAGTACTGGTGCTGGTGCTGGTACCGACCCCCGTGTGCGTACGTCGTTTGGACCTGATGGTCCGACTGTCTTTGTTAATGACATTCTCTTTGGTCAAAGGTCAAATGAGACCTTTGACCTTTGACCTCTGCGTGTCCTGCTGACCTCGTCCTCTTTTCTTTTCTTTCAGCCTCTGTACAACCAGCCCTCGGACACCAAACAGTACCACGACAACATCAAAATGTGAGTCAAAGTGCACTGAGGCAGGGGGCGCCGTAGGGACGCGGGCCTGTTAGCCTCGATTTAACACCGAACAAAGTTTAAAGCCATTTAAAGAGAAATTATTATTATGAAGTCGTATGCGATGGACCGACCTGACCTCTGACCTTTCACTGCTCCTCCCAGCTGTTAGCTCCTAGCTGTTAGCTCTTAGTTGTTAGCTCCTAGATGTTAACTCCTAGCCGTTAGCTCCCAGATGTTAGCTCCTAGCTGCTAGCTCCTAGATGTTAGCTCCTAGCTGCTGGCTCCTAGTTGTTAGCTCCTAGCTGTTAGGTCCTAGATGTTAGCTCCCAGCTGTTAGCTCCTAGCTGTTAGCTCTTAGTTGTTAGCTCCTAGATGTTAACTCCTAGCCGTTAGCTCCCAGATGTTAGCTCCTAGCTGCTAGCTCCTAGATGTTAGCTCCTAGCTGCTGGCTCCTAGTTGTTAGCTCCTAGCTGTTAGGTCCTAGATGTTAGCTCCCAGCTGTTAGCTCCTAGCTGTTAGCTCTTAGTTGTTAGCTCCTAGATGTTAACTCCTAGCCGTTAGCTCCCAGATGTTAGCTCCTAGCTGCTAGCTCCTAGCTGTTAGCTCCTAGGTGCTAGCTCCTAGTTGTTAGCTCCTAGCTGTTAGGTCCTAGATGTTAGCTCCTAACTGTTAGCTCCTAGATGTTAGCTCCTAGCTGCTGGCTCCTAGCTGTTAGCTCCCAGCTGTTAGCTCCTAGATGTTAGCTCCTAGATGTTAGCTCCTAGCTGTTAGCTCCCATATGTTAGCTCCTAGCTGCTAACTCCTAGATGTTAGCTCATAGCTGTTAGCTCTTAGATGTTAGCTTTGAGAAGTTAACTCCTAGATGCTAGCTTTTAGATGTTAGCTCCTAGATGTTAGCTCGTACCTGTTAGCTCCTGGCTGTTATCTCCTAGCTGTTAGGTCCTAGATGTTAGCTCCTAGCCGTTAGCTCCTAGATGTTAGCTCCTAGCCGTTAGCTCCTAGCTGTTAGCTGAACACTTTGAACACACTCTCTTCTGGATCTTCTTCCCAGAATGTTTTTATTCTGAAAATCGAGCGAGGGAGGGTTCGTTTTTGTTTTAAACACCACTGCCCACCTACACCAGTGTAAAGTGTTACCACTGGGGGGCAGTGTTGCCTTCAGACTCGCACCCAGATTGAGGTCCGTTTCAGTCACGTGCAGGATGTTTTCGTGTAGGATGAACCAACAGTTCTGGAGACCTTCAGTCCAGTATGGAATATTTACTCTCTCTCTCTCTCTCTGGTGTCTCTCTGCTGTCTCTCTCTCTCGTCTCTCTCTCTCAGAAACCAGGCCATGAGAAAGAAGCTCATCTTGTATTTCAAGAGGAGAAATCACGCACGGAAGCAGTGGGTGAGTGGCCTGATGACATGTATGTATGTGTGTCTACTGTATATACGTATGCATGCTGCATATGTGCATATATATGTATATATTTTTATGTATATGTATGGGTAGATATATATGAATGTATGTATATGTATGGGTATATATGTATGTATATGTATGTATATATATGTATGTGTGTATATATATGTATATATGTATGTGTATATATTTATGTATAAAATACAAAAATGTATACATACATATCCATTGTATATATGTAGGTGTATATATATATATATACACCTACATATATATTCATATAGGTATATATGTGTGTATATATGTATGTGTGTATATATGCATGTATAAAATACAAACATATATACATACATATACATTGTATATATGTATGTGTATATATTTATGCATATATATATGTATATGTATGTATATGTATATATATTTGTATATATGTATATATGTATATATATATGTATACATATATACATGGTATATATGTATGTATATGTGTGTATGTATGTATGTATGTATGTATATAT